GGTATCTCTCCCATGGAAATTCCATGTTATAACATTTGATACTACAAATACTCCGTCTACTTAAAAGAATAGCTCAAAACTTTTTTTTGATAAAGATTATATCTTTTAAGTGGCTTAGGATATCATGAGCTATCTATGTAGTTTTGCTGTCATTTGCTCAGGCTGCTGAAGAACATAATGTCTACTTCCTGCTTCCTTGCTACATTCTCCTTCTACTCTCAAATCTTGCATTATATGCTGTTATTTTTTAACTTAATGTTCTCCATTTTTTCTCTTTTTAGACACTACATTTGTCTTGGCATTCTGTTTAGCTGTGACACCTTCCTAAAAGGTAGCATCAGGTTGGATGCAACTGCCTGCAGCTTTAACTTCAACTTCTACAGATGATACACCTGATCCAGTTTTTTTCCCTAAAGGTAGTCATCAGCTGAGCTTTTATTGTAACTTTACATAATTTCTTCCATCGTATAGAGCAAAACTTCTCTACTGCGATTAACTTTTTCATTTTTTTTGATGTAGAAAGAACACCTGGATAAGTGCGTCTGTGGTTTTTGTGTGCATGCTCTGTCTTCAAAAACCCACAGTCGGTTGTGGCAGGTGGCAGTGCACACTGAGTCTGGTTCCGCTGGGGGGAAAGGAGAGTTCTTTTCACTGTTGCTACATGCTTAGTATAAAAAAAAATGCTGTAAAACTCTATTTTACAATGTGAAGGAATTGTTGTCAGTAAAGGTTTCCATACAATCTGGCTGGGTTTCCTTCGGTGCTTTAATTGGAAAAACATAATTGTCAGTATTCACCTAAATGCCATACAATTATGCCATAGAAAAAGAAAAAAACAACCATACTGCCAAAACAGTTTTTTAATTCTGAAAGCATCATTAATGTACATCTTTCTGTACATTTTGGGCCATGTCTGTACTGTAGTTGGAACATTAACTTAAAAGGTTGAGAGACAGCTCTGCTCTATCTCCCATCCTGTGCACCTATCCACAGGGTGCTAATAGAGAGTGTTTTGGTATTTTTAATTGTAGTAGATAAAAAAAAGAAAAGACAACACATTCTATATTCTATATTTCTATAACATATTCTAGATTCTATATTTGTAAAGAAAAGGCTTAAGAGGACGAGTACAATCAGACAAAATCTCAGAGTTTGGTTATGTTGTATAAAAACATCACATAAAAACCTTTGTAAAGAGTGATTTTTGTTCGCATTGGTTCCACATATAATGTTTATGCTGTGTAATTCAGGCTTTATTATAACTACATATTTTAGCCATAGCTCTATCATACATTCTCGAAAGTTGCACCTTATTTGTTTCTTCATTGTAATCCCTCTTAAATTGGTTGTCTTTGTTAATTTTCCTCATGATTGGTAAAAAAAGCTGTTATGTTGAAAGAATTATATGCATCATCATTATTGTAAAATTACTTTTTTTACCCAAAAAATGTTAGCTTTTAATATTTAATACAGCTGTTTCAGTCATACATACTGAGAAGCTTCTCTAGAAATAAAAAAACAAACAAACTGCCAAATACTAGATAAAACAGCCCTCTGATCTTAATTTTATTTGCAAAACTGCTATGGTGTGTTTGCAGTCAGTTTTCCTTATTGGCTATGCTAATGTTCGCTTGCATCATGAGTACCATTTCCTTGTAGGTTGGTGCAGAGCTCTGTTGTTATCATTCAACACATCTCTTGTTTGTTTAAGTCCTTTTGGACTCTAACAAACATTTTTTATGACATTTTTTGGTTTACAATTCAGCTACAAGTTGTAAACCGTGGAGCTACTGGGGAGTAGGGAGGAGGGGTTGTGGATAGACATCCCAGTACTCACAGCAAGGTGGAAAAATGACCCTGAGGGGTCAGATTTAGAAGCGATGATAATGCGTACTGTTACATACCATCCCAGTGCTTTGCTTAGAAACTCTTTTGACATATTGGAATAATAAACTGAACTTAGTGTGTTTTTTTTTTTTTTTCGATAACTAATTTAAACATAATAAATCTGTATGCATGACTAGATTGAATTTACTTTGTTTCTGTAAAAAAGGCATTGAGACAAAATGTGTGGTAAATTTTAATCAAAATCTAGATAAATTATTTTTTCTTAAAATAACTGCATTTGTTCTTGAATTGAGGAGGTAAAAGAGACATTTTGCCAATGGAACAAGACAATTTACACTAAAAATAAGAAAACACAATTGCATTGTCTTATTTCAAGTGGTATTCTCTAATTATCTTATTTTAAGAGTAAAAATACTCATTCCATTGGCAAACTATCTTATTTACCCATTTAGAATAAGGATAAATACACTTAATTTAAGAACTTTTTACTTATTTCTAGATTGTTTTTGCAGTGTATAGAAATTGACAGAACCAAGTTGGTAGACTTCACTTTGATAAATATTGTGGTTCTTTAAAATCACCCAATCCAATACCTATAATTTGTCTTCCAGGCCCTTTGAGTGGATTTATATATCTTATCACTATCAGCATTTGCCATAACAATGTAGTTTCAGTTTCAAGGGCAATTATAAAAACCGTATAACTTCTAAACAGGTATAGAAAGGTAATGACTGAAATTCAAAACATTTTGCTACTTGAGTTCTCTGGTTATTTTGGTTTCATCATGAAACCATAAAGGGTTAAACATCTCCACAGGTGGAGGAATCCATCCTGCTGATTTGCCATTGGTAAATTGTGCATGTGATGGTGTACTGTGGTTGTGCAGGAACCACTTTAGCGCATGTGTGCAAGTTACGTATGTGTATGATTTTATTTGTGTGGATGATATATAATTATCCAAGCATGTGTTTGTGCAAAGTTGTAAAAGGCACAGTACTTTGCACAGACACACACACACACACACAAACTCATACTGTAGACAGATGCAAAAAATGATAAGAGAGATGAAAATAAGGAAGGAATCACAGTTGCACAAATGAGGGGGGAAACCCTGCTAATTTCACCCAAATAAACTAAACTGAAAAATAAACTGGGAGGACAATACAAAGGGACCTATTTTATTGAAAGATCCTTCATTTTTTTAACATCAGTTTATAAAATTATTACTAAAAAGACTAATTAGAAGTAAATTCAAACCTAAATTCCCTTTGGTATTAATAAAGTGTTTCTAAATTACATGGAATTGACCAGATAAGATTTTTTTCTAAAAATATAAACCCCTTCGGATTCCATATTTGAGGTTGATAACAAGTCACAGTCCAAAAGAGTAAAAGTAATTGCTTAAAAACTCACCTTCTTTTAAGTGCAATTAAGTTTTTCACTTAGTGTTATAAAACGAGTAAAAACGAAATGAATAAAAACGAATTTATTAAACAATATTCTATATACTCAGCAACAGATCAGGAAATTCATGCTAGATGAAGCATTTTAAAGTATCTGCACCTCACAAAACTTTATTTTTCACTTTTTAATCAAGTTTTCTTACTTAAATCGAGTTAGGCCATAGTTAAGGCTAAAACATATTTTTCACACTAAACCTTTCTATACATGACATCCAAGTGCTGTATATTCTTCCTATGTGACTACAAGCTGTTGTGTAGGGAATTCATAAATGACCTTTATAGTCTTGAAAGTTGAAGATTTAAAAGGAGACATAATTTATTAAGACTGTGAAAATGGATAGTTTAAAAAACTTTTTATTAGTTTAAAAAAAGATCATATTAAACAACATGATTTATTCATTCTAATGTACAAAGTTGTAAAAGCATTATTTCCAGGAAAGAAATTTCAACATTTCAACTTTTATTTAACTTTACAATATAAACAAGTACTGGTTGCTACAGTTGTACTGGGTCACCTGGAGTCCTATACATACTCCAATACATAAAAGGTTCAATAAAAGCATTTACAGCATTTTCAGCAAAAGCACAGCGCACTGCAGTGTCTCTGGGTCATACAAGTTTTCTGTCTTTTATCTGTTTAACTTTTCTAAAGAAATAACATGTTTTATTCTGTATGTCGACGAGTGATTATCTGCTAAAGGCTGTGGCTTTTAAATATCCTGAAGCCAAAACAAAGCAAAAATGGGCAACGAAATTTGACAGTCATTCCAGCAGTGCTTGATGCAAGTCAATAAAACCCTGAATGTCACACAAACACACACACGCACGCACACACAAGTGTTTCTGTGCTCAAACACCTTCAGAAGACATGCGAACAATATGCTCATTACAAGGTTTCCATATCAGTTTCAGAAGGCAGTAAATTGTCTTTCAGTTTCCTCTTTAAAATGGTCCCCTCTCACACGCCGGTCGTAACACAGTATTTCAAAATGAGGTTGTAGGTTTCACATGGCACAATATCAGAAATCAACTTGCAGTCACAGCGCTCTCAGTGTCACAGTGAAGGAGAAGCAAAGCAGCTAAACACTGGTGAAAAGGAAGGAAGACAGGCATTGTGCATTGCTAATCAGAATATATACATGGTAAGAAAAGAAGCTCTACTGTGAGATGATACAAAACAAAGAAATTAGTGTGATACACAAAGGTGAGGACAATATTTAGAATAAATCAGACAGGAGGTTCTTTTTTTAGTTAATGTCGAAACATGCTAACCGCTGTTCATATCAAATGGTATCTTGATTTTTGGAGTATGCATTTACAAGTCTATTAAAATGTGTCATAGTCAGGCTGTGGTGCTAGATGTATTAGGTTAACATACTGATGTTATTTTTCACCTGTAAGCTGGGATTACATTGTCATTTCAAATTTTGTCTGAGGAGATACTTAAGAATATTTTTAAAGATATATATATATATATATATTGTTTTTATTACCTACCTCTGTCAATTAAGATCTTTTAACTGAGAGACATCTAATTTTCTCTTTTTTTATAGCCAGGCTATCTTCAGGTTATTTTCTGACAATCTGACAATTTTCCAAACTATCATTTTCAAATATTACACTGACCTAGAAAATATCAAATTTATATATATTTTTCAATTTCATACTTTCCTAAATGTAAAAGGAACCCTTGAGGGAGTCTCTCTTTTTTTTTTAAAACCACATGACATTACTCAGAAACAGGTGGGGAAGGGGTTACCATCCATTACTGTACCCTTAAAAAGGCTATTTGAAAAACTCCAGTCGGTTTCTATGGCATCTTATCTAAACAACCTAAAACCTAAACAAGTTTTATGATGGGAACTTTTTTAAACTGTTGTTACTGTGACCATTAAGTGGCCCAGGCACATTAACAATCAAGGGCAATAAAACTTAGCGGTTGGTAGTTTTTAATTCTGTTACCATGTTTAACTCAAAAATGACATTTTAGAAATAATAACGAAAAAAATACCATGAGTATATTTTAAAGAAGAATGATAAAAATGAAAATAACTAAAGACAAATCCACCACTTAAGGAAAATCTAACAGAAATACTAAAAATTCTTAACTAAAAGTCATTTTCTCATGACGGTCGACAAGTTCTAAGGTGCACAGCCCAAGAAATATGTTGTTTTTTTTATCTTCACGACTGCGTTGACTTTGTTAGATTTGTAACTAATAAAAAGAAAACCCTTCCGGATTTTGCCATGGCTGGTTGCTATCCAAAAACCTCTTGGATTGTTTAATGAGCTGGCAAGAATGAGCAGACTTGGCCAAGTCTGAATCACAGTGCTAATAAACGGAAAATTGTCAACAAACCAAAAGTTGCTGGTGACTTTCACCCTGGTTGCTAATGTTGAAACCAGATGCTGGAAGACCATAAAATTTGATCACTTAATCAAAAGCAATGGCAAGGTTTATAGATTAATAAACAACAAAGTACTAAATGACACTATTTACTTTTTTAATGACTGACTTAAATCAATTGTTACTATGCTCATTAACATTACTCTGCTTTTTGGGCAGTTTGGTAACAGGTATTGCATTGACCAGTGGATGACTAAGCAGTAGATTTTAGTAATAAAGGTGCAAAATCTTTGTTTTAATGCTGAACAAAAATATATGTTTTTGTTGCATTTTTTTTTTGCTTTAGGTAATGCATAGAATTGTGTTGCTAAAATTATGTCAAAACTGCTGTTAAGACCATTCTAATAGGAATACCATAAATAAGAGAAATTATTTGTAATGTTAAAACAATTGGAACACTACTAGAGAATTTCTTTTAAATACTCATGTACAAATTATTCAAATTATATCACTCCCATAGGCCATCAAGCTCAACTAGCCAAACACATTTCATCATGTCAAAAGTAAAAGTTGACCGGGTTGTCACAATATAATTCATCTTTCTACCAAAAAATAAATGGTTGGCAAATAATGACATATTTTGACCGGGTAAAATCTAAATTCAGTTTTGAAACAATGTGTTACATCATACTTTTTTAAAGTCCATTAATCTGCTGTATTTTTACATTATAACTGCAGCTCTATTTCAAATGCATCAAAGGTGAAAAGAAATAAATTCAGACCCATGTATTTTACAACCTGGGTAACAGAGTGTGATTGCCCAGAAAGCACATTTTCTCCATGAAATAATATACAACCCCCCCCCAAAACTTAACAAATCATATGAAATAAAGTAAACAACAAACTGTACAAGGCACGTCTGAATTTCCACAGGCATTATGTTCAGATGAAATGACCACCTTTGCTCAAAAAAACGGAGTGCAAATCTAGACTCTTTGGTAGAATGATGGGAAGCTCTGTGGCCATATAGGAAAATCAAACATATGAACATTTTAGAGTTCCTTCCTGAAAGAAAAAAAAAGGTACAGAGGGAAGGAACAAGTAATTGACGTCCCAAATATATATATATTAAAAAAAGAGTCAAAAATTGATATATGTTTATAACATAATCAAGGAAATGCTACGTCTGCTGGGTTTTCCCAAAGCTAAACCTGAGGGTGGTCATGGCTGCTTGTACTGCCTTGCAAGTACATTATTCGTCCAATCAAGAGAAGCAGGAGTCCGACACAGAGCATGGCAACTGGCTCTTGTTGGATGTGTGGCATCAGGTTTAGAGGGACAATATTCCGTCGGTGTCTTCCTGCCATTCTCTGCAAAAGAAAGGAAACAGAAAGAACAGGTTATATTAGTGGGTTTAAGTAAAAGCATTATTTCCAGGACAGGTTTTAAGTATGGTTCCATCCAGTATTGTTTTTGACAGCTGTCTTAGATTTAATCTTAGTCCTCAGGACAAACACTATTGTTAGTCTTTGTCACATTTTAGTCAATACAATATGTCATAGTTTTAGTTGGTTTTAGTTGACTAAAACTTAAAAAGGTTTTAGCCTAGTTTTAGTCAGTTTCATGTTGCAAAAAAAGTTAACCTTTACAATTTCGAATAACAATCAGATTTTTTACCAGACTGACATCCCTTGCATAGATACTACAATAGCTGGGTATAAAATGCTGCAGTGCATTTCATCATTGCTGTTGGGCAGAAAACTTTGATTTATAGAATTCAAATAAACTGTTTTATGAATTAATGCCCTACTTTATACAAAAGTGTGTCAAAAAAGTTGTAAAAATAGCAGATCTAGTTCAACACATCATATTTGTTAATAAAGTAGACTGACAAGCTAACAAAATGTACAATAAAGTAATGGTTTTAGACAAATGTTTCCATTCAAAAGCAAACACTTTCTGATGTGCTGTGAATTATGCATTACACACAGATCAATAAAATCTTTATTGCTCCATAAAAGTCAAGAATAAAAACATTCTTCTTTCTACTTTCTAACTCAAGCCTATAGACACCTACTGCTCTCAAGTGTATGTTGTAGATGGTAATCCCCCCATGACACTACTGTGAAGCATGACCCTCATGCCATATCATCACAATGGATTTAACACCATGACTAGACCCCTCTAAAAGAATTGTTTTATAGTCTGTGATCATGCACTTGCCCGGTGAGCTTTGGATCATTTGGCTATTCCAGCTATCCTTTATTTTATTATATGAAAAAGAACAGCATTCATGCTACCATCAGGTGCAATTTCATATCCTGAGACAGCAGACCAGCCCTGGGCCATTATCCTGTTTCAATGTAGATATAAATGCATTTTTATTGAAAGGTTTGGCTTCCCAATTGTGCCTTTAAAACATTTCCCTTTTCTTGCAGTCCCCCAGATATTCCCCCAAAGTATTGGTGGAACCCTTATTTGGTTACCACTGCCTCAAATTTTAATTTCAATTTGTCTAGTCCCTTTCCTATATAGAACATTGAACAACTGCTTAAGATGTCGTTTTTTTGTGAGCCTCTGGATGAGTAGATGATGTCCCCTTATGATAATTTTGGTAGGCTAGCCAGTCGAGGGTAAATTCACCATCTTTCCTTGTTTTCTTCCTTTGTAAATCAGGGCTTTCAATGTATTGCAATGGAGTCCTTAAGTCTTATAAATGGCTTCACTAAAGCTTTGATTCTGCTTTGTTTTTCCTTTATTTGTTTTTGAGACCTTATACAGAACACAAGCTGATTACTTGATTCTACATTAAGTGTGACTAGAAAATCAAAATATGGAAAATGTCAGATTTCTCCGATGTACTATCAATGATAATATATTGAAAATATTCTGTGATACAAAACTATGGGTATTTCTTTAGCGGATATGCAACATTTACTGTCAAAATGAAAATGATCAAATGATAAAACCTTCTGCTCCACCCAGTTTTATGATATACCATCACCAAAGTAAAGTTAGATCATTTTTATCTTGGCATTATTTCTGTAAAGGTGGGTTTAAAAATGACATATACTTTATAAGTTAACTATGGTTTATACAATGAATAACAAGAAAAGAAACCAAAGTCTATGTTAAACACATTATTTGTACCACTTCCAAAGTATTAGGTCAGCTTACAGCTCTTTACCTGTTCAGATTTATTAGACACAGATGGCTGGTGAAGCCCAAAGCTCCAGAGGTCTTTTTATTGGATGTTTATTTGCCCTAATTCACACACAATCCGATTATAGCATTTTAAATGACACGCTGTTCTAGCTATTAAAAAAATGAATAAATAAAAAATTAATAAATAAAAGGCTTACACAATCACTCAGACAGCATTAGTCTAGTTCAAAGTGTGCAATTTGAAACATCAAATGTTAAAGAAAACCCTTAAGGTTCTGCTAATGCTTAAAAAACATCAAAGGGGATATATGCTGCATGTTTACATCCACAGGAAGCAGGTAAGTATAGATGTTAAACTTCCTCCCACAACTCTCTCTTTACCTTTTACTGTCACTGCCTCCAGGTACTAGCATGTGTATTTTAATACACATGTTTATGGATTTGTTTTCCTAGATTTTATTGGTCAGGTTGGTATAAAGCCTTCTGATCCCTTTCACGCATCCTTGAAATACTGCATTCATAACAATGCTGCATTGTGCATAATATTTCTTACCAATAGCATTTCTTCATGGTTTCCCTTTGAGTTTTTTCTTTATTGGTATGAAAACACTTTAAAGTTCAAATTTGATATGAAAATAATAAAAAAGCAAAAACTTCTGGCACTCTTCATGACAACCTGCAAAACTCTGCTTGAATTTGTCATAAATCAAAGCACCATTCTTGACGGTGACTCTACGCTGTTATTTTTTTGCTGATCAACCATAACGTCTCACAATATAATGAGTGGACCCTCTAGAGTAATCCTTTAAAGAACAATAAGTTTTAAATCTTAAAAGTGGCATATTAAAATTACATTGCATTCAAATTAAACCTGTGTCGATGAGAGTTAAGTGATTATGTATCAGAAGGGGTGGAAGAAAACCAGGCAAATCTACTTGCTGATTCTTTACTGGTTTGGATACAATGCAGTTACTTTTGCTTTCCATTTTCAACAGTTATGCTGCTATAGGCGTATACTACTTGAAGAACTAAGTACTTCAATTTTCCAATTCTGCAGTGGACCGCTAACTTTATTTTCTCTGCTATTTCTTCTCATATGGGCTTCAATTGGCCTGGTACTGTTTGGCTGTATCACCTCCATAGAATGATACATAAGCTGGTCTCCAGCCATCAACAACTTCAATTACAGATGATATTGTTGGGCCTGGTTTTAATTGCTTACTCCTCGTTCTCTCCTAGATATAGCCATGGGCTTAGCTTTTACCATGTCTAACTGCAGGTGCCCCCTCTGACATAAAAACTGGCACATAGCTCATCTGCTTAACTGATTCCTTCCTAGACAGAGCCATCAATGGAGCTAGTTTTCCATTACCTTTTCTAATATAGAAAGTACTTATGGATCAATGCTTTGTGTTGTGTCTGCTTCTGTCTCATTAAACCCCCAGTTACCTTGGCAAAGGGCAACTTTGGGGTGAGGAACCTCTGCGGAGTCATCGACTCAAGAGTAAGAGAATACTGTCCCCACATGCTCTTTTAGGTGGAGGGAATCCTGCAAAGTCATTGACTAGATGCAATCAACTGGGCTCCCTTCGGTAGGCAACTTTTAACCAATCTGAATGTTCGATCTGATTGAATTGTCTCTTCAAATATCCTTGGGACGATGTGTTGTGAATTGGTGTGATATAAATAAACTGAATTGATTTCAAGCAGATTTCTCGCCATCACACAATAAGTGAAATGCTGGCTGGATAGAATATGTATTTAAAAATGTGACTTAAATATATTGCTCAGAGGCAATGTGTTTAAGTTGTTCAAACTTGTACACCACCTGGGTTGCTTCCAAAGGCTCGTAAAAACTATTGTAGTCTGCCTCTGTGCTTTAGAAAGTGAAAAGGAAAGGAAACTATACATTCAGGCTTTCTTCATAGATCAATAAAATATACAATAAAAAGGAAAGTTTGAACTGACTAAATCTAACATCAATAGGACTATGATTCTAAGATGTTTAAGGAATGTAACCTAGTGGGCACCCCGCATCATGAGCGACCAATGCTGATACTCATGTATTATATTCTATTATATTCTATAAGTAACCAATTAGCTTTTTTATGATGACAGTGCTATAAGGTCCAAGAGTCTTTGGCTGCAGAAACAGTTGAACTCTACTGGCAGGCTCTTATGTCGCTCATTAGTGAGATCCACCCTGTATGATAAGTTGCTACAACACGATTTGATGAGCAAACTGACAACTCTGGAGTTCAACAGTGATGCATCTATAGGCCAGCAGACTATTTCCTAGTCAGACGTTCCTGCTGTGTTTCTGTGGATGTGATGTCAAGCAGGTCTTTTTTAAATGGGTCCAATTTAGCAAACATTGAAAAGCTATATTCAAGATGGATTCTGTGGATAGTCATAAGCTACCGAAATCCAGCTCTACTCATACACCGATGGCAACTCCTTGGAAGATGTAAAAAGTAAAAAGAAAAACAACAACAAAAAAAACCTTGTCAAGTATGAGCCCACTCTACGAGAATGAGCAGACGGGTGCTGCAGTTCTGTGCTTTGGCCACAGGTGGCAGAATCATTACAAAACTCTGTTTTTAACAATTGATTTAAGTCATTTGTTGAGGCAGACATCTTTTCCTCTACGGCACCGCAGAGCTGTCAAAGTCACTGCAGTCTGACCATTAGATGTTGCTGAAAATTAGACATTGTAGATTTCAGAAACAGCCTCAGAAAATAAATCAACATCTCTATCAGCAGCTCAAAAAAAAAAAGAACCTTAATGTTGGAAACTGTAACTCATATACAGTCCTATGTTTGTATGCACTATGTGTGTACGCAATAACAATAAAGTCTGTCTAAGTCTAATTAAAGGAGAGAAAAAAGAAAAAAAGTTTTACTGCATAGAACATTAGAAAGATAAAGCTATGAAAATAGAAATGCATTAAGCATGAAGGAACATTTTCACATCCAATAAGTATAAAGGTAGCAGCCTTCATTTTTAATGCATATTTAAAACAATTCATCAAGCAGTAAAGGAGAACTTCCTTTAAATCACCAGCTATTGTTATGCACTTTTAGTTAATATTCTACACACAAAGTGTTGCCTGACTATTCTTCTGCTCTACAAGCTCTTTATAATTATTAACAAAAACTTGGCTAGGGTTAGAGCTAGGCAGGTGTTTTCTGGATCTTTTTTTCT